ATTCTGATGAAATAGTAGTTGATTTAAATAATGATCAAGAAAACAATGACACTTTCTTTTTTTGGGATGATTACCATTGCACAACATTAGTTCACGATGCTTTGGCAAATCTTTCCTTTGAAATTTTAGAAAATTTAAATTCTCCATTTTCAATACGTAAAAGAAATAGTTTTGCTACAAAAACTTTTGTATTAACTTTGGGTGATTATATGCAGTAGTGTTCTTAGAAATAATTTTATATATTATAATTTTTTTATTTTTTTATAAACTTTTTTTCTTGAAATACCCTTATTAATAGTATCAACTCTTTAATAATCGACCATTTTATTGTAATTCTATTATTATTAAACTAGTGCGTTGGGTGGCGCGAAGCGCCACCCAACTTATACAGTTTAATAACCATCACAGTACACATATTATACGATTTGAGTCGAATTAGTTGGTACCTTGATGTTCTATTTACTGTAAAAACTCCATTACACAATTTATTTTGTACAACTGATACACTGGTTAAGACTTTGATATTGTCATTTCCTCTTATAAAATTATCATCTGTCACGAGTGTCTTGTACATTTTTACCAATCATTTTGCACGTGTGAAAATTAAATATAAGAAAAAGTCTCCGGTCACCTACCAGATCACGTGAATTTGCACCTACCAAATATCACGATGTACGTAAACTATCGAAGTAGAATTTTTCTTAATTTTTGGACAAAATTACTCGACAACAATCTAATAGAACTCGATAGAAATTTTTTTAAATAATTTCTAGGAACTAATAGAATTTATTTTTTAAAAAAATTCAACAAATTATACCAAGTAATTGTCGAGAAATTTTCGTACAAAGTTTGGAAGGATTTCACCATCTCAGAAAATAGCCGCGGCAAAAATTTTTTAAACTTGAATGAAAATTACTCGACAACTATCTGATAAAATTTGATATGAATTTTTTAAAAATTTTTCGTCGAATCCTGTCGGGTATTTGTCGAGAAATTTTGTTCAAAGTTTTTAAAATTTTTTACCGCCTTCTAAAATTGCTGCGGCAAAAGTTTTTAAACTTTGAACGAAAATTTCTTGACAACTATCTGATATAATTTTTTTTAAAAATAAATTCTATAAAATAATAGAATTCATTTAAAAAAATTTTCATCGAATTCTGTCAGATAATATCCGAGAAATTTTCGTTCAAAGTTAAAAAATTTCTACTGTAACTATTTTCTTAGGTGGCAGTGAAATTTTCCAACTTTGAGCAAAAATTTCTCAACAACTACTCGATAGAACTCGATGAGAATTTTTTTAAAATGAATTCTATTAATTCATAGAATTGATATAAAAAAATTATCCGTGTTTTATTATATAGTTGTTAAGAAATTTTGTCCAAAAATTAAGAAAAATTCTACTTCGACAGCTTACGTACATGTGATATTCGTAGGTGCAACTCACGTGACCTGGTAGGTGTCCGGAGACTCTCCCATGATATAAATGGTCACAATCACATGCCATGAGAAATTCACAATATCAAATACGTAAATGACGAATCTGTTACGACATTAATAATGCAAATGATCATAATCGCAAAAAGTAGTCATATCATAGCCGATCATCTTAGTTTAAACGTTCGCGGATATTAATATAGCAAATCAAAAAATGGTAACTAGCGATTAATAACTGCTCGATGCGTACATAAGTATCGAGGCAGCTTTCGTCTCGTATCATGTGACATCTGATCGAACATAACATGTTCGATCGATCGGTTGACTGATTACGTACGTATGTATGTTGGGTTAAGAAAATTCCGGGCTGAAGATCACTTCCGATCACTAAATATATGAGAAATTTTTGATATAGTACGACCCAAAATTTTTAGGTCGGAGATCCGGAATTTTCTTGATATAAGGATTCCCACGTACGTAGGTATGAGCTAATCAATATGATCGTTTAATTATGAGGTAATTTGATCGTAGTAGTAAGTAATAGTAAGTGAGAAAATAATAGGAATTAACTGTCTTTTTGTGAACCTGACTTTCATTCTGGTTATATCGATCCCTCCCATGCTACCCACATTAGAGCTGCATAACTTTATGGCCTGCCAGGACAGCAGTCATAAATAAGAGTAGGTGGTGGGGTCTATTAGGATTGTATGCTGAAAAACATTAAATGTGGCCTGTTGAAATGACAATTGCAAAATAATATTAATTTATGGCCTGTTGGAATGACAGTCATAATACAAAAGTAAATGGAAAATGAGAAAGAAAGAGCATGTTGCACAATTCTATAAACAACTGTGTAGATTGCTCAACAGCAGAAAGGAAATACCTGTATGTTTCTTCTATAATAATAGTTTATTTCAAAATAACAACAACATTTTTTTCTTTTAAAAAATTGAGATTTGTTTGTTATATGCACTCACTTTGTGTTCTTGAAATTAGATTAACTAAGTTGTGGATAAGGCCACACAAAGTTAATTTTTCATTTTGCATTACCCACTGACCCATTTTTTCAATTTTTCAATTTTTTTTTTTTTAGGTTCTAATTGCAGGGAATATACCAAATTAGGAATTACATTCTAGGATGATCTACAAATAGATTCTCGAATTTGATTGGTTCTCACATATCTTTTACCCCTCAAACATTGTTACATTTAAAAAAATTTTTTAATAATTATTCAAGTTTAATAAGCTTTGAACATGTAGTTAGAGACGTCTAGTTTAGTTAATCAAAGTTAATCAACACCGATCAACTCTTGTTAAAAAAATAAATGAGATATTAAAAATGGTATTTACTTCGTATAAGAAGCCAAGAATCATCATTAGTTAACTTAAAATAGTTTTAAGATTTTGTATAATATTTAATAAAGAGTTATGAGTTTACTTATACTAAAACTTTTATTGTTTTAATTTAACTATCATATAGGTATCAATATAGTTCACAGAAAAAAACACTCGAGACATTTTAAGTAGCTTTAAATTGCAAATTGATGTATAAGTAGTATTGTTAAATAATACTGTGTATACAAGTAGTAATTGTTTAATGTTACAAATCAAATGTTGCAATATAAATTAATAATGCAAGCAAAATAAAATTACTATTTAGAATCCTTAATAAAGTGAAGCTTTGCTTGTCATTTTGTTTAATAATAAGTTATTCTTTTTGTATATAGAATGTTTGATTGATTTGATTGATTAGTGCTCATGTGCCATGAAATCTAGACTTTTCTGATCAACATTCTTATACCATAAAAGGTGTGATCTTCAATGTCTATTTATGGTATATTCTCTAACTAAATTATGCTAATTGTTCTATTTTTGCCATTTAATTTTTTCCTATAAATTAATCTGGTATCACCTAATTGAGACCTTATTTTTCAAAATTGTCTAATAAAAATAAAAAAAAATTTGATTGCTAATCCAATTTTCAGATTTCATGTTATGCAAAGTGAAAAATTAACTATACATGGCCTTAAATATGAATATGAGTTCATTAATCACTATAAATTTTTTTTTTTTTAAAAAAAAAAATCTAACTGGCTATTGATTTTGAAATCCATGTAATGCAAAACAAAAAATTAACTTTGTGTAGCTTAATGTTAATAACATGTATTAGTGAGTGCACATCAGAATAGTATGGTTTATAATAGTAATATATGATAAAAACTAAAATAATTCCAATGTGAACTAACTTAACACTAATCATGAATTGTAATTATCAGAACAGTATACAAGTTTTGTATAATAATATTTATAATAGAAACTAAACAATTTGATCAAACTTAACCTTAATTGGTGATCTACCAATTAAAACATATAATTTTGTTAAGTAGGTTTGTAACAGAATTTTTTATAGTAATTCAAGATAGAAATTATTATAATTTTGATACAAAGCAATTCACTTTTTTGTTATTACTTAAATAGTAAATTTTGTAGTTTAAATTTAAAAAATTAAGTTTTGTTTGTTATATATTATCAGAAAATTTTTTAAGCTAATAAGTGATAATTGCTAACAACTAATTGATTATTATCAGTTAAATTTAATCAATAACAATCGATAGTAGTGTTTGCTATTAGCAAATATCCCTATTTATTTTAATTAATAATGTTAATGATCAATAGTTTTTGATAATTAATTACTATTGATAAATTATTTATTGATAACTATTGATAATTATCAATAACTATTGATAACTATTGATAACTATTGATAACTATTAATTACTATCGATAACTATTATTTTTACAATTTTGATTTCTATCAATAACTATAACTATTAATTTTTATATATCGATTTCTATTAATGGGCTTGATAACTATTGATTTTATATATCAATTTCTATCAATAGACATAATAACTATTGATTTTTAATATAAAAATTTCTATCAATAAGTATAATAACTATCAACTTTTATTTATATTAATTTCTATCAATGTGGGTGCTACTAATCAATTAATAGCCTTAAATAGCAATTGATATTTATTAGTTTAAAAAATTTCCTGATGATATTTAAAATTAGTTTGGCTAAGATTGTATACATTTGTGAATTGCATATTTTGTATTACTAGAGCACTAACACATGATAGAAAGTATAATAATTTCAACACAACTCTAACCATATATTATGATTATTAGAATAGTGTGCAAGTTTTGTACGAGAACTTCTAACAGTAATTCATGATAGAAACCATGGTAATATAATTTTTTTTTTTTTTTTTTATCAAGGGAGGTCTTTCCTCTAGTTCTTTATTAGATAAAATTATGAATTATAAC